TATGCAGCTAATACAACCTTGCTTGCTGGAAGTAAAGGAGACTTGAAGCACTGACTGATAAAGATCAAACACTGCAGCCTTTAGTATACATTGCATTACCAATGTAAATAAAATCAAAATTCTCACAACTGGACAAATAAATAACATCACGATAAATGAAAGAAACATTTTAAGTTATCACAAACTGCATTTTTCTTAGATCCACAATCAACATTCATGAAAGCAGCAGTCAAGAAGTCAATGGAGGATTACATTAAGCAAATCTGCTGCAAAAGAGGTTTTTAAAGTGTTAAAGAGCAAAGATGCCAGTTTGAGGACTAAGGTATGCTTGATCCAAGCCATGTTATTTTCAATTACCTCATCTGGATGTAAAAGTTGTATGACGCGTTAGGAAAAACAGTAGAATTTATGCATTTAAGATCTGGTGTTGGAGAAGAATATCAGAAGTACCATGGACTTCCAAAAGAACAAACAAATCTGTCTTGTAAGAAGTGATCCAGAAAGCTCCTTAGCAGCCAGGATGGCAAGATGTCACCTCTTACACTTTGGACATGTTATCAGGAAGGACCAGTGCTTGGAGAAGGACATTATGCTTGGTAAAGAGGAGGGTCAGAGAAAAGAGGAAGACCTCCACCGAGATAGACTGGCCCAGTGGCAGCAGCAATGGGCTCGGGCATCTTAACAATTGTGTTTAGTTCTTCTATGCACAGGGTCACTATGAGTTGGAACCAACTTGACGACACTTAACAACAACAACAACATGGCTTTTCAGTGAGAAAACACCAAACAATAAATACACAAAGCCATTATATTTACAGAGACATCACAATAGTAACTAAATGTGCACCAAGAAACATAAGAATATTCATGGCAGCACTGTTTGTAAAATAATAGTAAACTGGAAACTATCCAATGTCCATCAAAAGAGAGGATAAACTACAGTATATTTAAATAATGGCAATTAAAGGCATTAGAGTGAACCAACACCACAACCACAGGCTTAATTATAGATTAATCACAAAATTATGACAAAAATACGCAAAGTATGCCAATCATTTATATAGTAACTTCAAAAACAACCAAAATTAAGCAATACAGATCTGATGCTGTATATGTTAAATCCATAAAGAAAAGCAAAAGGATACTAAACACAAAATTCAGAAGCAGCACAGATGTGGGACAGCAGGCGAATATGGCAGGAAGGGTCATACGGGGGCTTTAAATGTACTGGTAATGGTTGACTTCTAAAATTGAGCAGCAGGCTTTATTATTATACAGGTGTCTATCTTTATAACTTGTAATATATGAAATACTTCATAGTTTTTTAAAAACAGGCCAAACTTGAAATTTTTTTTTTCAACCAAAATCTTGACTAAGCATGATGTTGTTGACCAAGCATGTTGTAGTTGTTAGGTGCCATCAAGTTCGTATCCAATTCACAGGGACCCTATGTACAACAGAATTAAACACTGCCCGGTCCTGGGCCAACCTCACAATTTTGCCATGCTTCAGCCCATTGATGCTGCCACTCTGCCAATCCATCTCTCTGGGGGTCTTCCTCTTTTTCTCTGGCCCTCCATCCTACCAAACATGATATCCTTCTCCAGTGACTGGTCCCCCCTGAGAGTATGTCCGAAGTATGAGAGACAAAGTTTGGCCATCCAGGTCTCCAAGGAGCACTCTGGCTGCACTTTTTCCAACACAGATCTGTTTGTTCTTTTGGCAGCCCACAGCACTTTCAACAGTTTCCTCCAACACCATAACTCAAAAGCATCAATTCTTCTACAGTCTTCCTTACTCACTGTTCAGCTTTCGCATGCATATGCATGTTGTTGTTAAGTGCAGTCAAGTCGATTCTGACTCACAGCAACCCTGTATAGGGTTTTCCGAGGAACAGCTGGTGAGCTTGAACTGCCGACCTTGCAGTTCCAATGACTTTGCAGTCCAGCGCAAACCCAGTGCCACACCAGCACTCATGCATATTGTTAAGTGCCATCAAACTGATTCCAACTTATAGAGATCCTGTACAGGGTTTCTGAGGCTTTAAGTCTTTGCAGGAGCAAAAAGCCTTATCTTTGTTCCATGGAGTGGTTGGTGAGTTCCGACTGCCAACCCTGTGGTTCACAGTTCCAGTGTTTATTCTACGACACCAATGTGCTCCCAGACTAGGCATATTATTAAACAAAACAAAGAGCAAAGTGTAAACAAAGTGTAAATAGATAAAAAAAATTGATAAAATTGATAAAAAAGTTGGTAAAATTGATAAAAAATGGATGTGAATATCAAAGAATTTTAAAGCTTCAAAAAGGTAAGTTTTTTGTTTGAGAAAGAAGACAGAATGGAAACCATAGTAAGGATCTAGGAGAATCTCAACATTCTCCTTTTCCTTTGTGACCACATATCCCAAAATACCATGCTTGGAGTGGGAAAATCAATCATTTTTTTATCTTTAGAGAAGGTTGCAGGGTAGATTCTCAGAAGAAAAACAAGATAGCTAAGTATAGAGGGTAGGCCAAGAAAAAAGTTAAAGAGGTAGGTGGATCTGCTTAAATGGAGTATTCCAAAGGAAAGGAAGAGTAGAGAGTTAAGAGGCCAATATTGGGGAAAAGTCATGAGCTAAAAAGCATAACCCATTAGGAAATAACTGTGATAAAGAAGATGGTTGGTTTGGTTCCCCTATTCATGTGCCTACAGGTTTTTAGGGGATGAGATGATGCATAAGTAGAACTAATAAATTATACCAATTTTGGTATCAGAATTACTTGAAATCATCAGTATGTTAAGGATCCCTAGTAGCACAGTGGGTTATGAGCTGAGCTACCAACTGCAAGGCCAGTAGTATGAATCTATGAGTTGTTCCACCGGCGAAAGATGAGGTTTTCTGCTCCCCATACAGGACGGCACACAACCATTACTACCACAGAAGTATCTTAAAGGAGTTGTTAGAAAGGAATGAACTGGGCGGGTAAGGAAAACATGCAGTCTCCCTTCTGGGCAAAATACATGAGAGCCTTGCTCTAAAATTAAAGTAAAGTAAGATTTTAAGTTAAATTAGGACTATAAATTAAAACTGAATTGTATCTTTTACCTTTCTGCAATACTCAAGTGATGTTGGCTGTCTTCTTTTCAAAACACGGGTCTAAATCTTTTGCATTTGACAGCTCTTTTCTGAGGTCAATGTTGAATGTTCAAAGGAAGTATGGAGAACACAAACACATACAAGAGCAAGATGACTCTGTTTCATGGCAACCTATGTGTTACAGAACAGTGCCGCTTCATGGTGTTTTTTTGGCAGTAATCTTTAGGGAAGCAGAGTAGGTAGATTTGAACTGTCAAAAGTTTTAGGTTGGTAGAGTGCAAACCATTTTGTGATCTACAAAGAGATAACTGTTTACTGGTGCCAGTAGTGAAAGTACTGTCAATTTTTTTCCTTGTTACTCATCTACTAGATCTCAAACTATTACAGACTGATCCATGTCTCTCATTCAACACAGGTAACTATGTCTTTTTTAACACATGCTGTACTGTATTTACAGAAATACCTACTGATATCCAAAAGTAATATTGCTATTGTTAAGTGCCATGGAGCCGGTTCCAACTCATAAAGACCCTATGTAGGGTTTCTAAGGAGCAGGTGGTGGGTTTGAACTGCTGAACCCGTGGTTCATAGTCCAGTGCTAATCCTACAGCACCACACCAGGAGTCCAAAAGTATTATAGACAAAAAAAAAGCAAAAGTTGGATGGGAACCGTGTTCTCCCAATAACTACACAATATATATGATAGCCTCGTGGTGATTCTGTGGGTTAAGAATTGGGCTGCTAATTGGGAGGTCAGTGGTTAGAAGCCAGCAGCAGCTCTAAGGGAAACAGATGAAGCAGTCTGCTTCCATACAGATTATTGCTTTGGAAACTCCATGGGTTTCCATAGGAAGCCCTATAGATACTTTGTCCCATAGTGTTACCATGAGTTAGAACTGGTTCAGCCACAGTGGGTTTGGTTTGGTCATATGTGATCAAACATCCCAGTACGTTTTTCTGAGACTATTTTCTCATCTAGAAAACCATTCACAGTATGTGTTAAGTGTTAAAAACAAAAAGGATATATGCATGCAAAGCAATGAGTACACAACTGGAAATGAATTTCAACAAGGAATACCAGTTGGAAGAGCCCTGGATCTCCTACACAGCTATCCCCAGAAATGTCCCATCTCCAGTTTAATGTGCCACACAGCATTTCCCTTTCAGAACTGGTCACTGCCAACTGTGTCACACCCACAAAACAGAAAAGAAGCTTGGCTCTATCCAAAATTCCTGACCATGGTTAACAACGATCCCACTACCCCAGCTTTATAAACACATGTACAAACACATGCCATAGCTCACAACTCTAGCATTCTGCAACTTGGTTTCTTCTGTGTTATTAGTAATAAAACTTCCATTACTAAAACATGTTTCTCTGGATACGAGAGACAAAGTTTAGTATCTAATGATTTATATTAGACCTCAGTAATGCTGTTAAACACCCAATAACAGCTCAATCTATTCATACCATTTTATTTGCTTTTTAAATTTTAAATTACATTCTACCCAGTTATCAAAAGTATCCCAGCTTTCTCTCGGAAATATACATTAGTACCAATCTCTAATAGTAAGCAAATAAGGTGATTATTTTTAAAAACGTGTCAAATGCTTTCCTTTCCAACACAATTTCACACATTTTATATCCCTCCTTCTGCTATCCTAAAGAACCTGACCTACTAAGTAATTGTGACCAAAAGATGAAAAAATGAGAACATTAAGTATTCAAATAATAAGTAGTAATTCAAGAGAAGACTAATATTCTTCAGAACAGCTAACTGAAAACACAAGTTATATTAGAGAAGTCCTCTAAGAAGAATACTTATTTGCATACACAGCAGAAAAGAAGAAGCTACTAAGAATTTTGTTTCAAGCCTTCCTACATCAGCCCTGTGTAGGGAAAGGGTAAATATATAAGAACCTGGAAGAAAGCTTTGAAGTGAGCATCCTCTTGAACGGTAGTGTTCTGATCACTTGGGAGGAGAGGGAACAGGCTCTGAAGTCTCACCCTTTCACAAATCACCTTGTTAGGATGGCCAGGTAGAGGTGCTGAATTGGCCCCGGGAGAAATCTGGGAAAAAGAGGGAGAAGAAAAGGATAGTTCATGGCTAGCCGCACCAATGTGGAGAATCATGACTATGAAGGATAGCCTGAGTTTGCTAGGCATGTGATGATTCTGTTAGTTGAAACTGATCATTAAAAATTCATTTTAAACATATAAACAAAGGGTGGCAAAGGTTGCCTCTGCCAAAGGATCACTCTTACAAAAACTTTGTAAGGTAAAACAGCACTGCTCAAGTACGAAAGAGCTTCCTGTTCCTCAGGTAACCTGAACCTATTAAGAATTTTTTTTGTTGTCGGTGTTAACTCTGAATTCCTAAGAACAGAAACCCCAAAATAAAACCATGTACCTTACATACAGAAAGATTAGCGTCTGTCTAAGAATAGCATCTGGACTAAGAATATTTCTTATTCTATTTTTTAGTTAACTTTCCAAATACAATCACGCAAAGATGAGAGAATTGAGAACACTTGTGGCAAACTTCGAATGCAATCACAGGTGTAGAAACCAAGAGTTTGACAGTGGGAATCTTAGCTCTATTCAAACAAACCAAGAGGTTTTCCTAAGGAATAAAGGACAAGATCATAAACCCCCAAATAAGTGATTACATGTTTTTAATGCTTGACTTGTGAGTCACTTCCCTTCAACCCTTATTAAAAAAACTCCAAAGGTAAATGTACTAATCTATAGCATTTTTAATGACTTAGTTACCATCATAAACATCACCTAATTTCACTGAATTGTGACAGTGAACTGCTCTTGGGGGTTAAGGTTCATAGACTAGATTGTCCTTACATACACTAAGAACTTCAATCCACATTCTCTAAGGCTGTCTTCTTTTAGAATTTCAATACTTCATTCACACGTGTCTATTCTGTAACATGCTTTTAACAGAAAAGATGGTTTCCTACCATTAATTAAATACATAAAAGAAACAGAAGTACATCAACATATCACATGAGTACTAAAGTAAAGATAGATACCGGGTGTGCTATGGAGAGTAGTGTAATCAGGAAACTGCAGAATCAGTGTGGCTGAACAGTAATGAAGTAGCCAGAGGTAGGCAGGGACCAGATCACTGAGTGCTACAACCCTTGTTATGATAACCTCTCTTATCCCCTTTATAATTGTTTCTGGTCTGCTATGAGCCTGGTCAACAGATTGGCATGCCTTTTTGTAGGAGCAAAAATACTTAAGACTTCCCTTTAAGAGTAAAGGCAAATCACATGAGGGCAGGTACTTTAGAAATCTGTTTACTGTATAAAATGTTCTGGACATAAGCTAGTTTCTCTCTGAATAACAAACATGAATGTACTGACAGTCTTTGCCATTATGTATGCACTGCTGAATAAAGAAATAGTTACTGATTTCCTCCTAAACACCAAGACTTATGTTAGGAAAGAAGAGAAAAAGATAAAAACATGGTTGCCATCCTCAAGAAGCCTATTCTAATAACAAAACAGAAGCAAACTACTAACTATAGGATCCTATTTTGAATGCCATAATACATCATACAGGTAAGAAGTCTTGTGTCTGAAAGTTTAAAGAGAAAACATATCACCACATATGGATTTCACATTCTGGACTCATTATTTTAAAGTAATCCCCTACTCCCCCAAAATGGTCTATTCCCCTGCGCAGGTCTAATATTCTTTTTTACACTTTACTTTGCACAGTAAATGCTGGCGCAATCTTTCAATAAGGCCATGTGCCTTCAACTACTATCCCCAAAGTAGACTATGTGGGTAACAAGCACTCTTACAAATCACTGAGTATAAGTAGCTGGTTGGGGAAAAAAAGTCAACGGGTCAGGTTTCCTCTCCCTTGTTCTTCATTCTTTTGAAAATGTATTTCTGCCTTGGCCTCTGAGGTCACCAGTTAGTAATTTTCAAGCATATCCTCTCTAACCCACAATTACCTTTGGTCAGAAGCTCCATTTGTCTATAAAAGTAGGCTTTATCAAAACCAGGCTTCCCCACACTGGGTAAGATCAAAATCACACACCAAAATCACATGACATTTTGTTTGCGTGTGTGGTGTGTCTATGTGGTAGGCAGAATTCTTATCCAGCTCCCCAGAGTCCCATGCCCTGGTGTATACCCCTTCCCTGAGTATGGGTGGGGCTGTATGATGAATTGCATTCTTATGATTAGGTTAAATCATGACAAAGGTGAAGTGATTTTCAGATCTAATTAAGAATTCAAATCAGTTAGTTTTGAGAAAACCAAAATGAGGGAAATGCTGGGTGGTCTGACTTAATTACAGAAAGAAGTGAGTCCTTCCTGAAGGAGTTCTGGTGGTGCTGTAGGATAAGCACCGGACTGCTAATCACAGGATCTGTGGCTCAGACTCACCAGATGCTAAGGTAGAGAGATGAGGCTATCTGCGCCTGTTAAGATTTATAGCCTCACACACCCTATACAGGGTTGCTATAAGTCAATCTACTCAATGGCAGTGGGTTGTTTTGGATTTGAGTCCTTCCTGTCATCCCTGAATATGTAAACTATTATGTTGTGAGAAGGCATATAGGTACCAGGTGGCAAGGAGCTGAGGGCAGTGGTCAGTTGACAACTAGTCGAAAACAGGGATCTCAGTCCTACAACCACAGAAGCCATCTTATGCCAACAATCAGTGAGCTTGAAGAGGACTCTGAATCTCAGGGAGGGGGAAAAACAACAGCAATAAAAATCACAGATTCAGTCAGGTAAGACCCTGAACAGAACAGAGGACCGAACAGCTCATCTGTCCCAGGCCTTCTGAAACCATGGAAACAATAGATGATAAAGCTGGGTGTTTAAAGTTACTACATTTGTGGTATGTTACACAGCAATAGAAAAACAAACACAACATGTATGTATATAAAAGAACAAACAGAAAATAGTATACCAAATTCAAGGAAAATTCCTTCTCCAAAATGTCGGCTGTATTAATTAGATTATGAAAGACAAAAAAGTATTTTTATTTAAGCCTAAAATTTTTCTCATTTTTGAGTTAAAGCACAAAACCCAATCTGGGCCTGTGTCCTTTGGGCACAAAGTAGAATCAGGGTTGGTAAAAATAGCACAGGTTCCTCTCTGACACCCCCAGGTCCCATAAGTTACTAAGGAGACAAGCAATGGGAACATTGTTATAAAATTTTTCTTTCCTTCTGCTCCACAATCCTGATTTGCAGCACAAAGATTCTTCTCTCCTCAAAAAAGTACGTCTAGCTTCATTTTACTTAAGGCTCATTAACTTCACAGATAGCTCTTAAGTACCTATTCAAGATTTGATCTCTAACAATTACAGGGTTTTGACAATATATACCTGTAAATATAATTGTGGGTTTCACAAGAGTCAAAAAGATGAACTATGACTGAGTCCTTCACGGGTTTCTTTACTTAATAAGTAACTTATTGCTGATTTATTCAAAATGTACCACATGTCTAGCACATACTGTAAGGACCACTGGTAGCTTAGTGGTTACAAATCGGGTTGCTAACCTCAAGGTCATCAGTTAGAATCTACCAGCAAGGAGAAAGATGAGGCTTTCTGCTTCTGTAAAGATTTACAGCCTTGGAAACCCTATGCATGCAGGGTCACTATGAGTCAGAAACGACTCCACAGCACACCACTACTACTACCACCACAAGGAGGCCAAGTGGTACTATGGGTTAGGCATTAGACTGTTAACCAGTTAAAAACACCAGATAGCAGTTAAAACCAGCAACCAGTCCTCAGAAACCCTACATGGCATTGCTATTAGCCGGAAGCGACTTGATAAGAGTGGGACGGGACCAGGTACTGCATTAGATGCTGTGAATATAAAGGGAGGGTGGGGGGAACAGTTCTTGTCCTCAAAGACACTCAGTTTATTGATGTACAAGAGTCCTGGTGTGGCCTTGTGGGATAAAGCACTGGACCCCAAGGTCGAGTTGAGCCATAAGGTTGGTGTTTCAAACTCACCATCTGCTTGCTGGAAACCCTATACAGTGTTGCTGAGTTAGAACTAATTTGACAGCACTTAACAACAAAAATGAGAACAAGGAGTCCTAATGTGGCGCTGAAGGATAAGCACTAGATTGCTAACCGCAAGGAAGGTGTTTCAAACCCACCAGCTGCTCATCAGAAACTCTATACAGGGTCACTAAGAGTGAGAACTGACTCAACACCACATAATGTCGACAACAAATAACAAATGAGAACAATGGGAGTTCTACTGTACACCCAAAGGGTGACCATGAGTTGGAACTGATTAGACAACTAATAGCCACCACCATCCAGTTAGAAGTGGGAAGAAAGTAAGGTATGACTTAAGAAAGGAACATGGAAGAAGAAAAACAAAGTTAATAGCTGGGGAAACTTTCAACTTATAGATAACCACCTTCATCTGCTTACAGAGTTCAAGCATTAGCTTGATCTCTTCCCAATAAGCAATGTCATTACCTCCACTGCCATGGAGTTGATTCTAACACATCGGGTTTCCCAGACTGTAAATCTTTTAAGGAGCAGACAGCCTCATCTTTCTTGCCCCAAGAAGAAGTCAGTAGACTTGAACTGTCAACCTTAGGTGAGCAACCAAACACCTTAACCGTCACCATCCAAAGGGCTTCCTTAAACAAAGTCCTAAGTGTTGAGTATTTGCTGAGTGAACTACAGGCTCCAAATGTTTGTTTACAATCTATTCACTCTCCACAGAAAAAGATGAGTTAACTAGGGAATACAAATGAAAACGGATGTATTATAAAAGTGCTTCATAGAAAAACAACCCAAAAGACAACCAGTAGACTTTGATGCTATGTCAATAGTCATGTGACTAATCAAGATCCTTCCAGCAGGATGAACTGCAAAATGGTGGTGACATAAACCAAGCTAGGGGCACCAGAAAGAAAGAGAAGTGTATGGAACAAAACGGAAACAGAAGACAAAGAATGTGACATTCTTTAGGATTAAATGTAGGTAGACGCTGATTCAGTATATATCTAAATTGGAAAGGAGAAGTCTCAGTAAGTCCACCATTTAAGAAGTAGAAACGAAAGGTAAGCACTCGTGTTTCTTTTTGGTTTAAGGTAGGAGAACTAGCATATCCAACTTTTACTTAATAATTGCATACCTTTTTCTAACAACAACAACAAAAATACCCTGTAAATCTTATACATGGAAACAAAACCTTTATTCTCGTTGGTCCTCATTAACCCCAAATACTCCCAATTCAAAACCAACCTCTCTCATTTTTCAGCCCTGAAAGGAAGAACTTCCATTCCCTAACAACAAAACGCAGTCGGCCCAGACACACGCGGCGGCAGGATGAGAGAGAGCACCCTTCCGAGAGGGTTCCGCGTTCTCATGGGTGACATCATTTCACCTGCGCCTCTGGAAAAAGTGAGAGAGCAAGAGAACCAGGCCGTCTGCTAGGAGGCGGCGGGTCGGAGGCTCCTGCTGGCTGCGGCCGCACCTCCTCGCCCGCCGCCCTGGAACAAAGAGTTGGGCGCCTCGGCCGCGCCCCACCAAGGTCGGGACAACTAAACCTCCGCCGGTGGCTGGGCCCAACCCCCGCTCGCACGGCAACCAACGGCCTATGCGGTCAGTACCTGCGAGAGGAGGCTCCGCCCTGCGGGGCTGCTCCCGCGGCTCCGTGCTGGACCGCCGCCTCCTATTGTGACCGCTCGCCCAGCCAGCCGCCAGCTCGCCAAATCCGCTGTCCCTGGGCCTCCTCACCCCCGGAACACAGGCTGTGACTGAGGGGCTGTCACGGCGCTTCCTTCCTCCCGGAACCATTACACGGGCCGCGCCAGGAAACGATGGCTGCACACCCAAGCCTGAACTAGTCAGCTAATGCCTTGGGGGACCAACATCCTCTCCCGCCCCACGCCCCAACTGCCCGGGCCTTGACACCGCCCCGCCCCACAGCACGAGAGGCTCCGCCCCGTCGCAGGCGCACTACCATCCGCTGCGCGCGTTGGTAACACCTCGCGCCGCTAGGCCGCAAGATATACAAGCACGCGTCTCTGCCACTTCTTGATTCGGCGCTGCCTTCCCTACCCCACCCCGCCTCCTCGCCAGCACTAACCTAGCAAGCCTAGCGCTTAAAACCACCAGAGTGCTCCGCCCCATTCCCCTCGCAGGGCTCCGTGCGCCGAGTCCCCTTTGTTCCCACCCCACCGGAGAAGGGGTGGGGCCGGGAGCTTGAATCGGAATAGTTCCGGCAACAGAGCCAGTCGCGCAGCAGCACCGCGCAGCACCGCCCCCGGAGTCCAACAAGGCCATGGCTTTGAAGCCGCAAAAAGCCCTAAAATTCCTTAGCTCTGGTAGCGTAGTGGTTATGAATCGGGCTGCGAACCTCAAGTTCAGCAGTTCAAAACCACCAGCTGTTCCGCGGGAGAATGATGAGGCTTTCTGCTCCCGTATTTACACACACTGTACAGGGTCGCGATAAGTTGGAATCGACTCCACAAGAGACTGGAGCCCTGATGGGGCGCTGCGCTGCGGGTTAATGCAATTAAAGTCAGTTTGAACCGCAAAGTCGTCGATGCAAGCTCACCAGCCGCTCCTTGGAAACCCTAAACAGGGTTGCTATGGGCTGCTGTTAAGTGCAGTCCAGTCAATTCTCTTAGCAACGCAACCCTGTTTCTGAGGAGTGTTTCTGAGGAGCCGATGGTGGGTTTGAACCCTCAGCCTTGTGGTTCACGGTCCAGTACTTATCATACAGCACCACACCAGAACTCCATTAACAAACATCACTTCTCACGATACTAACATGCATTCATATGACTCGAGAATCAGGAATTTGTATTGATGAAGACAGGGATGTAGAAAGGTTCTCAGAATGAAGCAAGCATGTTAGAACCTAAATTGTCCAAATCTAAGACTTAATCCTGGTGTGGTGCTGTAGGATAATGTGTTGGACTGCAAGGTCAGTTTAAACCACAATGTCAAACTCACCAACAACAAGGTTTAATTCCACGCTTCCTGGGGATGAGAAATGGCATAGGGAGGAAGACTAAAGCCTGCATGGCTCAGATCTTGATCCTGTTCAAGATGTGAGAGGAAAACCTTCCATATTAACAGTAAACAAGGAAGAGACACTTAGGTGGTATCAGAGTAGGGGGTGGTGGGCACATTATGGAAGAGGTGTTGTTAAGTGCTGTCCAGTTGGTTTTCTGACTGATCGCGACTCTGTAGAGTGTTTCCAAGAGCGGCTGGTAAGCTTGAACCATCGACCCTGCAGTTCAAACAAATCTTACAGTCCTGCACATTAACCCACAGAGCCACACCAGGGCTCCTAAGGAAGAGGTTTTGCTGTTGTTAAGTGGCCATTGAGTCGGTTCCAACCCATAGGGGTTTCCGAGGAGCAGCTGGTGAGCTTGAACAGCCGACTTTGCAGTTCAAATGGCTTTGCAGTCTGGCACATTAACGCACAGTACCACACCAAGACTCCGTGGAAGAGGTAGGCTTCTTTTAGAAAAAGATAGGAATTAAGCAGATGATGTCTACAGGATGGTGATCATATTTTACACTTGAGAAGTGTGGTGAAGGAGCCCTGGTGTGGCACTGTAGGATAAGTGCAGTCGAGTAGATTCCGACTCACAACGACCCTGTATAGGTAGGGTGGGTTTCCAAGGAGTGAAGTGGCTGGTGAGTTTGAACTGCCGACCTTGTGGTCCAGTAGTTTATCCTACAGCACCACACCACTGGGTCACAAAGTCAGTTTGAACTGCAAGGTTGATGGGTGAAACCCACCAGCAGCTCATCAGAAATCCTATATAGGGTGGCTATAAATCAGAACAGACTCAACAGCACTTAACAGTGTAGTGAAACAAAATTAGTAAGGGCCAGTTAGCAGGAAAATTCTAATTTTTATTTTTGCATTACTTAAACCAATCTTCTCCTGAATACCTCTGCAGAAAATGAGGGAATCAGGCGAAAATAGTTTTGGGACCCTCCAAAGTTTGTATATCATATATATAACATAACACAATACTGTAATTATACACGTCTGTCTCCCATTATCAGACTGAGCACCTGGGCTCAGTTTTGACTGTAACCCCAAGGCTCAAGCCTAGTGCCTGAAACACAACAGCAGGTGCTTAGCAACATTTGAATCTAAGTTCCAGCAAAAACATCACAGGCTTTTATGACCTCTGAACAAAGTGAAGCTGGAATGGGCTACCAGCCCCCTGTGAAACACATCCTGTCTTTCAGCTCCACACCCTATTATACAGCCGAGTCATTTGGCTGCCTCTCCCCAAAGTCCTCAGCCAATCTTCCTAAGTAGCCAGTTTGGAGACAATTACATCAAAAATTTAAAAAGTTAAGCAAAGTCAAAAATCCCAACCATACCTTTAGGTGCATCAAATGTAATGTGCAATTCTAACCTCTGAATCCCTCACAATACGTGTTCTGCAGCTGCAACTTCACATTAGCGTTATAGATCTCCTATCAGAATGTCAGTTTAACAAGCTTCCTTACATAATGCAAACACCCAAAAACAGCTTTTCCTGTGTGCTTGAATAGGAGTTATGAATTGAAGGGAGAAGAAAGTTGATAAAGGGGAGGGGAAATCATTGAGAGTTGTCTCATTGTAAGAGTAAAGATTCTTCAGTCGCTGAGTCTCAGAAGCAAACATTAGAGTTCTCCATGGTTTCTCAGTCATAACCTTGTACGAATCCCTCTAGGTTGTAAACTTTTTGAGAACCCTTCTCAAATCGTTAAGATTTAGTTAAGTGGGGGCTCTGAAGGCTTACCCCAAGAAGTCTGTCACGGTGTAAACAATGCCACCATAACCTCCAGTTTTGATAGTTTAAAAATTGTTGCTAAGTGCCCTCAAGTTGGTTCTGACTCATAGCAACTCTATATAAGGTTTCTGAGGAGCAGCTGGTGGATTTGAACTACTGACCTTGCGATACTGACCAATGCTTATCCTACAGCACCACACCAAGAGTAGGAAAATAATTAAGTTCCTTCAAAATGTGTCTGGTAGTTATGCACTGATTGTTCACTCTGAAGTCCTAACATCCTAACATATAGCAGTTTGAAACTACCAGCTGTTCCGCAGGAGAAAGATGAGGCTTTCTGCTCCCGTAAAGATTTACAGCCTCGGAAACCCCATACAGGGTCGCTATGGGTCGGAACCCACTCCATGGCACAGAACCACCACTACCAGTTCTTCTGGTCTCTGAGAAGTGGAGGCTGTGGTATGCGTGACCATTTGTCCTTTGGATTGTTTCCTTAAGGCTTTGATTTTCCTCTCTTCTTTGCTCTGGATGAAGAAACTAACGGCTACATCTTAGTTGCTCACAAGTTTTTAGGACTCCAGTGGCTACTCAACAAAGTAGGAAATAGAGCACTGTCTCTGTGGACTCTGTCAATTGACCTAGACATCTCCAAGGCCGTCTTTCCCAGATGTTGGATTATGGGTATGACGTTTACATAATGGCCCTGAATGTTCTACTATAGGGTCCTGGTGCAGTGCTGTAGGATAAGCACTGGACTACTAATCACAAGGTTGGTGGTTCCAACACACCAGTAGCTCTCAGAAACCTTATAGAGGGTTGCTGAGTTAGCACTGACTTGGTGGCACTTAACATGCTCTACTATATCCTTGGGCCTATTTTTAACACATACATATACATATGTAAAAAATATCCTCTGCCGAAAGGCTGTATGTTTGCGGCCAGGAGGCAGGCTTGCAGAATGTGCCCTTTGGTTGCTTAAATGATTATATATTCTTGAGTGTTTCTGCATATATCAAAAAAAAAAAAAAGGGGAATAGAAGCAGATTCTGTTGAATGATGATACATGGAGACTGTAATCATTGCAATGAAATGATAACTGTAAAACTGATGTTCTCCCATGTAAAGTATCACTCAGTTCACAATAAAAACTTTAAAAAGTTCATTAAAAACTTAGAGGTAAAAAAAAATCCTCGGCCAAACCTATATATATTCATGGCTGTCCTCCCATTTGCCTTCCCACATCTGTTCAGCTTGTATGCCTACTTATGTACGTACTCATTGTGTTTGCTATTATTACTACTGCAAAACTGTGTATGTAATAGTGTTCAGTCGTCTTTTACTCTTGTGCACCTCCCAGTGTCTACCTTTGCCTTTATGTTGCATAGCATTCCATTTTGTATATGTACCATAGTTTGCTTATCCATTCAATAGTGGACACTTTTTACCATAATGAACATGGATGTGCATGGAACTTATTCATACAATTCATATTTCTCTGGGATAGTAGTAGTGGTGGAATTACTAGACCATATATTTCTATTTTCAACTTTTTAAGGAAGTGCCATGCCATTCTCCAGGCTAATTTCACCATTTTATAATCCCATCAACACTCTACAGTTCCAACATCTCCACATCTTTGCCAGCATTTGTTGTTTTTGATCATGCATGCATGTGTGTGCATATATGTGTGAACTCTGCTGTTATTACTGGGTTGAGATGATATCTTACTATTGTTTTGATTTGGTGTGGCACCATGGGATAAAGGACTAGACCAAAAGGTTGGTTTGAACCACGAGGTTGGCGGTTCAAACTCACCAGCCGCTCCTTGGAAACCTTATACAGGGTCACTATGAGTTGGAACTGACTTGATGCCACTTAACTACAACCACAATAGACTAATGGGAGTCTTGGTGTGGCACTGTAGGATAAGCACTAGGCTGTAGGATAAGCACAAGGTCAACTTGAACCACAAATTTGGAGGTTCAAACCCATCAGACACTCCTCAGAAAACCTGATTTGATGGCACTTGGCAACAACAATAGGCTAATGAGTTAGGCATTGGGGCTGCTAATCTCAGAGTCAGCAGTTCAACCCACTAGTGGCTCTATGGGATAAAGATGAGGTTCTCTGTTCCCATAAAGATTTACAATCTCAAAAACCCTGAGTTGGAATCGACTTGATGACAAGGAGTTACACTAATGA